ACTTAAAACAAAGTCAACAATGGTGGAAAAGAGGTGGAGGAGATGAAAGATATTAATGAACTCATAACCACAATACTTGAATTTCTAGATCCAAGACTTATTAATCTTCAAGGAGAAATCGATTCAAAGAAGTAGAAACTCAAGAACCAAATAAGAGATAGGATAAATGAGTAGGTGTACCAGAAGTGGAGAAAAAAATAGAAAATCTCGTATTTAAAAGAACCAACAACTCAAAATTTTCTACCCAAACTCCCTGGGCCTGAATGCAGTCTCCCCAGGCATGAAGATATTCCTCCCGCCGTGAAACTGTTCCAAAAAATAAACGAGCTTGATTTTCACTCAAAATATTATACCAGCTCAAAGTTCATACCAAGAGTTATTATGAGGTCGAAATCTAAAATATGGAACTCGAAAACAAATATATCGAAAGTTCGGGTGTTAAAATCATCCCAACTTTGAAATTGATTTTGTCCTCGAAATCTAGCACCAGTCAAACACTCGAATGGCATACACAATGGAATCACTTTGCTCTCCATGTTTCGGTCCTCCCCGAAAATCAAACTTCGATCCAAGAGCACTCCTGACAACGATATCACACATTTCCTTTTCACGTAAAGCACTTGAACCATTAAATGCTTATGAGACGCTTCTAAAACGCCCCACATCTTGGAGTATATCTCGACAGGTAGCTTGCCATTCACCAAAACTAAGGAGAATAACAATCTAGTGATTTTTTTTTATTAACCTGGATATCCAACCCGCTATGCGAGCCGACTAATCCCAGAATGACCACCTGCTTTGCAGATAGCCCGGAGTCACCGCGTTTGAACCTCCATGGCCACAAGGGGATTTTTATTCCTCCTTGGATTTGAACCTAGGACCTCTTGGTACTTCTGACCTTTGGAGCCAAGCTTAAACCAATTAGGCACCACCCTTGTGGTTAACAACAATCTAGTGATTAAGACCTCAAATAATGACATTTTTACGAACAACTGATTCCCTTCCAAGAAAGGGCCTCTAACTTAGTTCAAACTCTAACTGAACCTGATAACTTCTGGAAAAATTGCCATGATGATCTACACGTTGAATCCCACATCTAAACTTCAACTCGATACATTACACCACTTCCAAAAGTGATAATTGAACATTATTGGAGAAATTTCCAGCAATATGACTTCAGTTGTCTCCCAATCTTAGGTGACTCGTGCTACCTCAAGGGTAGCTTACGACCTCAACTTATCAATTCCACAAATATTGTCCATAAATGAACTTACTCTTAATATTTTCTAACAACCTCTATCAAACTGCATTACGCTTCTCCCTTACATTCAAAACTTCGATAATATTTGCAAAGGTTCATCCAACAATAAACAGTCATACTTCTTTCAAATTAGAGTACACAATATTATGTTGACTTTACCCGGGTGGTAAAAGAACATGGATAAACATTCTCGAATCGATCACTTGTTGCCAATATTGCACTGATACCTCTAACCTCGACTAATCAAAGACTCCTCAATAAAACAATATCTAATTGGGGTCTAGCTCTACCATTCCCACTAATTTCTCCAAATCATTACCCTAAAAGATTTATCATCATTTCCTTGACGAGATTCCTAACCACTAACTTGGGTCGAACCTATACAACCCTGCATCCATACCCTAAATCGTCACAATCCATGTCAATTATAAGGATTCTCTAATATTTCCTAAATCAAGCGGTTCTTGACATTAATCTAACTTTCATCTAGAAATGTATCATTACACTCTACTGAAAGTTGATTATCCTAAACTCCATGATTACACAACTTTTAGAATGCATTCCAACATTGACTCTTCAAAATAAAATCCTTGACAAAAAAAGATGGTTGCATTCATCACTCACTATATGTAATGCCCCTAAAATAAGAGATAATTTTAACCGAATACTTCAATGGAAACAGAGCTTAGTAGATATAAAAATCACCCAACAAAAGGGGAAATAGTGTAAGGGTTTACGTTTGAAGAATGAATGCTAGACAACAACCTAATATCTACACTTATTAGAAATACAGATTACATTGGGTGTCGCTAAAATCCTTAAAAGAATTTCATTTAGTAACTTCATTATTGCACTCAAAGGTGCAAACCTAAAAATGCTTCCATCAGCAAGAATGCTCCACTCATCCCTTGGGAGCCCCACCGCTAAGAGAACCTGATATACATGTCATTTGAAAAAAAAAGTGTTAGGCTTAACGCCTAGTGAGAACAAACAATTATTGAATAAAGCTATTAGAATATTAAAACGAAAAATGTAGCTTTAAACAAGTTATTTGCATGGTTAACTCACACTTACCCTTGGAAGGGCGTAAAACATCTGAAGATGACAGGAGAGGCCTGATTTACCGTTCGTTGTGACGGAATACATAAGTAAGACACAAGCTAATGTTATTAGAGCATCACATATAGGTATAAAACCATTGACATTAACCAAAGTCAGTCACTTAGTCAATTGTGATCATAAGCTCGTTCACTCAGAAATTATATAATAATCACAATGTCTATTTCCATTTTATAAATAAGAGTTCTATTCTTTCACATATTATATAAGAACCGACTTTTATGCCTATGGATCCATTACATTCTAGTCATAAATGTATCTATATATGTTGGGTCACCCATTGATTTGGTGATGAACCACTGATATGTTCCTTTATCCTTAGCAACACTTAGTAGTTATTGGTTTCTTTGTATATTAGTGTCTTGGTACATTCTTAAAGCTATTGGCAAAACCAAAGACTAGCCGATGTGAAGACAGAAGGTCACCGATGCGGTATTGTGGATCAAATGTCTAATTTACACACCAAGACTCCAGAGTAGCTGATATAAAGATGGAAAATATTTTGATGCTACAAGACGATTGTGAGGAAGATCTTCATGCACCGAAGATTTGAAGAAAGATCTGCAAGCACCAAAGATTTGTGAGTAGTTGTTTGAAGCTACTAATCCATCCAAAGAAGATCTTCCTACAGACTGACCGTATCTCTGCAAAAGTTTATCTCTGTATGAACAATGTTGTATGCACGTTGTGTACGATGAAAATGAGATATCAACAATGGTTAAGTCAACTTACCTTCTTATCCTCAGGTGACAAATGTCCTCATGCATTTAGTGTTGAAGGTAGTATAAAAAGCAGTATGCATCTCCCTTGCAAAATACTAACTTCCTTTGAAAGATTTCTAAGTGCATTCTCAAGGAAATCAACTTTCCTCCTCTTCTACTCCCTTACTCTCTTGTGTGTGAAGAAAAACTTAGTGTGTTCTTCATTTCCTAAGCTCTCTTTGTGTTGTTCTTGTAAGTTTTTCTCTCTATAAGATTGTTTAGGTTAGGTTATCATTTCTTTTCTTTTTTGCAACAATCTTTATTGTATCTATGTGTGTTAATTCTTGATATTCATCAATAAGAATTAAAGTCAAAAGAAAAGTTTGTGTAATTGTATTCAACCCCCTTTCTAGAATTACTTTCAGTTTATTGCCATCCCTTTTGGGACCAACAATATATATATATATATATATATATATATATATATATATATATATA